GATGGATGGACGGATAGACAACCTGATTCCAGTTTACCCACCCTTTTGGTGGTATAAGAATGCACAAGAGTGCTTACAAATTCCATGTGGACAGACATTATGGAAAAATAATAATAATAATAATAAAACATGATACAGATGCTTATATCTTGTTTTATTCAGTTTTTAGATACAGAATTCTTTCCATGCTTTGATCAGCAATGTAATCTTGTCATCACTCATGTCAATATCCTAGTACAAGATTGCATACACAAAATTGTTGTAGGTAGACTTTTAAGATACATAAAAAAATACATGCCTAAGTTTAAATGAAGGTTTTAAACAGAAGTCGTATTATGTTCAGTATACAGTGATTTTTCTAGACAATTGTAAACTATAAACTTGGTATACAGCGATCTTTTCTACACATTTGTAAACAACAAACTCAGTATGCGGTGATCTTTTCTACAAAAAGTTTTTTTTTTATATATTGTATACACTAAACTCAGAAAAAAAACAAATAAGTAAACCTTTCTATGTACACTACAAACTCAGTATACAGTGATCCTTTCTACACAAACTTGGTATAACTAGTGAATCTTTCTACTCCAGTAAATAGAAGATTGTATACAAATTTACTACAAATGCAGTATACAATGATCGTTTCCACATTTTTTTAGTTTCCGCGATTTGTTGATTCTTCTTTTGTGATGGTAAATATATTTCCGCCTTTAGAGAGTACTGTGACATTAAAAGGCAACATGGTTGTTAGCATCTCCTCAAGTGATTAATCATCTTCAACATTTAATTGGAGGCCGGAAAGAAGGACGTTTTTCTCCACCATAATGTCCTCAAATCCATTGTTGGTCACCATGGCCAATTTCAACTTAGAAGAATCAATAGAGATACCTTCTACCATTCCAGATTTCATTTCTTCAGGGACATCCACCTGCTAAAAGAGAGTAAGGGAAATAAATTACTATATTTCATTATTGCTATGATTATGTGCAAGAAATATACACTTCTTTATAAGCTTATAGTCTTCCCAATAGGAGTCTATATTAAATATACGGTAATTAATTACTTTGACGTTCAGGACTGTCAAATTATTAAGCGATGGACAGCTAGCAAAATGATAATATCTTGACCATGGTCATACAGAGATTGAATCATAAAATTAGATTTGTGTGATAAATCTGTGCAGTATGATAATTTATTTTGACGTTTGTATTTCAAAAAAAATCATTTTGACTTGAAAAGTAATGTGTAATTTAATTAATTACATTGGACCGTCATGTAATGGTTATTTAATTATTTTGAAAATACCTGTAATGGCAATGCCATTTTCATAATGTAATTGTAATTTAATTAATTACATCATCATGTAATTGAACCCATGCCTGTTACAAACAGTAGCTGTCCTAACTGATCCTAAAATTAACTTTGGCTACATCTATCACAAAATTAACTTTGGCTATGTCTATTACAAATGCCACATTTAGCTACAGTAGAGGTATTTCAAAAATGTACGTCATTGTAGCTGAAAGGACATAATTAATGGTCACTTAACCAGAACTACAGTTCTGAACAAACCACTACAAAGCCTGGTTATCTGTACTAAGACAATGTCCTCTCAATTAATCAATTTCATTGATTATCAACATCTTATTGTTGTACTTCCGGTCACTTGAGTTTCAGTTAAAGTTTGAATTTGACTTTTAATAAGGCCCAATGTGATAATACTGCAATGTTTTAATAAGCTCTCGAGGGGTATTGGTTAGACTATTTATCCCATTTCATTCCATTCACCATGGAAACAAAACTCTAAAATGCTTAAAAACAGTCGACAATTAATGACAAATATTGAGCCTAGGGCTGTGTAAAATTGATGAATCAAGTGTTGAACTGAAAGTTGACGCAGTTGACATAATACTGAAATTTCTGAGATGAACAAATACAGTACATATATTAAAAGTTCAGGTATAATAACAATGGGACCTAACACTTTGCTAGGTTTATCCTAATCTTCATTAAAACACTTTCCGGGATTCAGATGTTAATTGACATCTTCATTATTCCCAATCTTCATATTGTAGTCGTTCACATGCATTACTCTTCAACAGAATCAACGAGACATCATGTCAGAAAGACAAAAACTAAATTTAAGCTAAAACTATATATATAAACTTCAATTGGCATAGCTGTAGAGTTCCCGTACGATTTCATACCCTGGACTTGGGGTACTTATAAATTATCTCCGATCAGAAATTTGAAAGAGCTAGATCTACAAGAGCACGGACAGTGACCGATATTTTAAAGTAAAATCGATATATTACACAGATAGATTCCTAGATCTATTCACAGTAGCGTAAGTAGTACAGTACAATATTACGGATAAGTTTTTTTCTGTTTAATTTCCGATCATTCAAAAATAAATTTATTTCAAAACACTGAAATACTTTACGGAAGCAACAAAAATGTGCTAGATGCTTACATAACACTTTTCAAATGCATACTGCTTCAAAGGAAAAGTCTTGAAAATATTTTGAAAAAAGTGCCATGGCGGCAGTGCCCAGTTTGCGCGTCGCTGTCGAGCCTAAATTCAATACATGCATTAGCTCATTTCAAATGAGTATTTTGCAAAAAATGCAATTGCTAGTTCAGTATAAGTATTGACTTTAAATTCAGCTTATATATATATATAGTGATACTTACTTACATCAAATACCCGCCATCTTCTTTCTGCCGCCGTCTTCTTTCAGGGTCCAGCAGCAAAGAGCACCCCGGCTGTTTCCGTCAAAATTTTATGCTACTCTAAATCATTCTTATTTCAATTTCATTCTTATTTTCAACTACATATTTCATTATTTTCAAAAGTTTTCAACAGTATTAAACGGGATGAAAATTTTCGAAAAAGAAAAAAAAAGAAAGATATATGACACCCACAATGCATCGCGCGGAAAAGAAAGTTAAGCCGCCATATTGGCATCGCCTCGCAAAATTTACCACCATAAAACATGAGTCTTCGTCACTGTATTTGCAAATTTCGATGTCTGATTATCATAAATACACAACACAAAACGTTTTCTTGATGTACAAGTAATGAAGAAAATGTCAATAAGGTTGTTTCATTTAATGACTAGCATCAGCAACTTGTAGGGGCGATAATCCAATGATTGCGGTAATGTCCGGCAGATGGAGTAGGAGCAAACTTTCGATTTATGAACCAATGAAAATGAAGTACTGATACTCAGGGCCAGAGGCAACAGCAACATGCTGAAGAGCATTGAAAATGCTCTTAGCATAAAAATGAAATAATAACATACAGATTTTGTTACATGTTTTCCTTGAGATAATCCCTGTCTTCATATAATCCTGGCGATGTGAGGATGTTGACCTCTAAAACAAACACCACTATTTCCTGTCCTCATATAATCCTGGACAATGTGAGGACGTTAACCTCTAAAACAAACACTACTATTTCCTATCCTCATATAATCCTGGCGATGTGAGGATGTTAACCTCTAAAACAAACACTACTATTTCCTGTCCTCATATAATCCTGGCGATGTGAGGATGTTAACCTCTAAAACAAACACTACTATTTCCTGTCCTCATATAATCCTGGCGATGTGAGGATGTTAACCTCTAAAACAAACACTACTATTTCCTATCCTCATATAATCCTGGCGATGTGAGGATGTTAACCTCTAAAACAAACACTACTATTTCCTATCCTCATATAATCCTGGCGATGTGAGGATGTTAACCTCTAAAACAAACACTACTATTTCCTGTCCTCATATAATCCTGGCGATGTGAGGATGTTAACCTCTAAAACAAACACTACTATTTCCTATCCTCATATGACCTTGGTTGTTGCAAGGATCTTAAACACTGTATAACAAACACTTACTGTTAAACACTGTATAACAAACACTTACTGTTAAACACTGTATAACAAACACTTACTGTTAAACACTGTATAACAAACACTTACTGTTAAACACTGTATAACAAACACTTACTGTTAAACACTGTATAACAAACACTTACTGTTAAACATTGTATAACAAACACTTACTGTTAAACACTGTATAACAAACACTTACTGTTAAACACTGTATAACAAACACTTACTGTTAAACACTGTATAACAAACACTTACCGTTAAACACTGTATAACAAACACTTACCGTTAAACACTGTATAACAAACACTTACTGTTAAACACTGTATAACAAACACTTACTGTTAAACACTGTATAACAAACACTTACTGTTAAACACTGTATAACAAACACTTACCGTTAAACACTGTATAACAAACACTTACCGTTAAACACTGTATAACAAACACTTACTGTTAAACACTGTATAACAAACACTTACCGTTAAACACTGTACAACAAACACTTACTGTTAAACACTGTATAACAAACACTTACTACTTCCTATCCTCATATGACCCTGGATGTTGCGTGGATGTTAAATCCTATGTAACATACCCTAGGTAATCAGACATATTAAAACTTTCCTGCTTTGTTGTATCTAGTTCAATACAGTACAACCCTTAGTGTCCGTCCCAAATTAACCAAATATGGTTAAACTAGTAAAATCTATCGGTGAACATTCTATGTAACCCTGCGTAATCTTAAATAAACTAATCACACAACAAAATTCAATTGATTTCCTATAAAAAATAAACTGGCAGAATCTGTTTGCCTGAAAACACATATTTACCAGACCTTTAGCTAGTTTCCAATGAAATTAATTTTCCTGTATAATCATGCTAAATCTGGGTAGTCTGAAAACTTGTATTATCCAGACCTTGAGCTAGCTTCCACGGACTACATCTCTATCTAATCCTATGTATTTTCTATTTCATTTCTATGTATATTAGAAATGAACATTTCTATATATATTACTTTTATCAATTACTAAAACTTGTAAGTATTGCACAAAATATTAATGCTTGTTATAGACAGGCTATTATATATACTACAGAGTGATTGACTCACAGGGAGACAGGCTCTCTCCGCAGATCGTACCATCCTCTCCATATTCTCCATTGGTCTGAACAGACGGATCTTATTGTCATGTCCACGGTAAGATTTCATTCCCTCGAACAACTGACAACAAAAACAAAAAATACAAATTCTAATAAAACAGATATATTAAATACATAAAGTGTTTTGTAGGAGATTTCACTACTTCAATTAATTCACATTAATGATTTACTATAGTGATCTGACATTGCTCTAATAAAATTTCTTGCCACAAATTTAGCAGGACACTCTCTGTGACTTTCTCATGTACATCTAGAGTTGGAAATTTGACACAAGAATTTTAATAATGAAACTTCAATGTAAATAAAGCTTTTGTAGTAAATCAGGCAATAGTGACCCATGACCCAAGCGGAGTTTTAGCACATCAACTACTGTGAGAGAAGTGTTAGTGAACAAAGTTTCTCTCCACTTTACCTCGCTTTTGAATTGGAAGTGAAATTGAAGGTCATACTGACCTAAATACCTTACACATCACATTAGTACACCTTTATATATATTGTATAGTTACACAAGGTAAGTCAGCTTGCATTGTTGACATATCAAATTACATCAGTTTTATTGAATAGACACCAGGTGGTATTTAGCAGAGATTCTTTAAACATAATATTGAATAGTTTTACTTCGGTGTAATAACAACCCTCCACCACTGCGATCTATCAATATATATAGGTAACAAGCTCCTTAATTTTCATACGAGGGACAAAGACAACTCAAACTGTTTTGTCTAGTCCATTCTGTCTGTTACCTTGATGCAATAATAAGCGCTAAGTGACAGACCATATCTTCAATCAATTTTCCGACTTATAACAAAAAAAGGAACAAATCTAACTGATTAGAAAAAAAAACATACCAATCTATCTATTAGCTATAGGTCTGTCTACAGACCCACGGATCATACCAGTCCTACTCATAGCTATAAGTCTGTCTACAGCCCCACAGATCATACCAGTCCATGATATAGGTCTGTCTACAGACCCACGGATCATACCAGTCCTACTCATAGCTATAAGTCTGTCTACAGCCCCACAGATCATACCAGTCCATGATATAGGTCTGTCTACAGCCCCACAGATCATACCAGTCCATGATATAGGACTGTCTACAGACCCACGGATCATACCAGTCCTACTCATAGCTATAGGTCTGTCTACAGCCCCACAGATCATACCAGTCCTACTCATAGCTATAGGTCTGTCTACAGACCCACGGATCATACCAGTCCTACTCATAGCTATAGGTCTGTCTACAGCCCCACAGATCATACCAGTCCATGATATAGGTCTGTCTACAGACCCACAGATCATACCAGTCCTACTCATAGCTATAGGTCTGTCTACAGACCCACGGATCATACCAGTCCTACTCATAGCTATAAGTCTGTCTACAGCCCCACAGATCATACCAGTCCATGATATAGGTCTGTCTACAGACCCACATATCATACCAGTCCTACTCATAGCTATAGGTCTGTCTACAGACCCACAGATCATACCAGTCCTACTCATAGCTATAGGTCTGTCTACAGACCCACGGATCATACCAGTCCATGATATAGGTCTGTCTACAGACTCACAGATCATACCTGTCCTACTCATAGCTATAGGTCTGTCTACAGACCCTTGGATCATACCAGTCCATGATATAGGTCTGTCTACAGCCCCACAGATCATACCAGTCCTACTCATAACTATAGGTCTGTCTACAGCCCCACAGATCATACCAGTCCTACTCATAGCTATAGGTCTGCCTACAGCCCCACAGATCATACCAGTCCTACTCATAGCTATAGGTCTGTCTACAGCCCCACATATCATACCAGTCTCATTCATAGCTATAGGTCTGTCTACAGACCCACAGATCATACCAGTCCTACTCATAGCTATAGGTCTACCTACAGCCCCACAGATCATACCAGTCCTACTCATAGCTATAGGTCTGCCTACAGCCCCACAGATCATACCAGTCCTACTCATAGCTATAGGTCTGTCTACAGCCCCACAGATCATACCAGTCCTACTCATAGCTATAGGTCTGTCTACAGACCCACAGATCATAACAGTCCTACCCATAGCTATTGGTCTGCCTAAAGCCCCGCAGATCATACCAGTCTCATTCATAGCTATAGGTCTGTCTAAAGACCCACAGATCATACCAGTCCTACTCATAGCTATAGATCTGTCTACAGACCCACAGATCATACCAGTCTCATTCATAGCTACAGACAAGCAACCCATACCCATGTATTTCATATGTTTGTCTACAGACAGACATCCCTTATACCAGTTTAACTTTCAGGTCCGTCTACAGACAGACAAACCCCTCATATCTTTGTAACTCAGAGGTCTGTCTTCAGACATACAGCCCTTATACCGGTGTAACTTTCAGGTCTGTCTACAGACAAACAAGCCCCTCATATCTTTGTAACTCAGAGGTCTGTCTTCAGACATACAGCCCTTATACCGGTGTAACTTTCAGGTCTGTCTACAGACAAACAAGCCCCTCATATCTTTGTAACTCAGATCTCTGACTACAGACACACAGCCCTTATACCAGTGTCACTCAAAGATCTAGATCTGTTTACAGATAGAAAGGCCTGTCATATCTACCTAACTCATTTGTCTGTCTACAGACAGACAAGACTCTCACACTGCTGCAACTAATTGGTGTATATATACAAGATAGTCCTATACAAACAAAACTCTTCAGAACAGGCCAAAAATAACTATATAATCTGTCATGAATGAAAATCAATTTCCTGTTTTAGTAACATTACAACTTTGAGATAGATGTACAGGCTGTATCGATCTCTGTAGCTTCTATATGACTGAACAGTGCTGACACTGCAGACATGAGAGATGCACACTAATTAAGTTTGAAGCTAAATTACATCATGCACAGTTGTGTCAATAATGTTCTAGCCACAACAAACATCCAAACCCCACATTACTTGTGCTAAAACTCTGTAATACAATGGATGCCTCATGTAGAGCTGGGTATCACAAGCTTATTACAATACTTAATGCAAATTACCATTCCACCTTGGACACAAACGTTGATAAGTTGATATAATTAAATTGATTGTACAGTATTTATACCAAAGTGTTTCCACATAATCATTCAGGAAGAAAAATGGTGGAGTTTCACTGATTCATGAATCCAAACAATTATTTAGTAACCCCTGATATCTATGTTGACCCATATAAGTCACTTCCACATTCCTTTACTTGGAACTGGACCCTCACAAAACGTGATTTTTGAGTTAAAAATGATGCTGTATCAGAACTTATGAAATCCAATTTTGAAAGCACACTGCACACTTACCTCCACATTGTAGAGGAATACTTAAGCTTCTGGGAGGTACACAGGATTAGGGACACTTACCTCCACTGTGCAGTGGAACACTTTGGCTGCTGGGTGGTACATATGACTAGGGACACTTACCTCCACAGTATAGTGGAACACTTTGGCTGCTGGGTGGTACATATGACTAGGGACACTTACCTCCACAGCATAGTGGAACACTTTGGCTGCTGGGTGGTACATATGACTAGGGACACTTACCTCCACAGCATATTGGAACACTTTGGCTGCTGGGTGGTACATATGACTAGGGACACTTACCTCCACAGCATAGTGGAACACTTTGGCTGCTGGGTGGATGCTGAGGTTCTGTACTGGGTGGATATGTGGCTTTCCCCATCCTTTGTCGTTAGTCCACTCAACAGTCAGCATGTGATCACTGTGATGCCTGCCAAACACCAGTTTGTCCACATCTGGCTTTTGCTTTGGGTTCGTAGTAAGGGTAATCTGCAGGTCTTCATGCTAGTTATAAGAAAATATGAGACACATGGGCCTTAACAGTATAAAGACATATACCTAAAAGAAGTCAAATAGGCCTAAAATAAATTGCTCAACTACTCTACAGTTTATTATCAGCGATTTGGCCCTTCTGGTTATTACAAATTCATTTAAAGATTTCTACTCATTTGTCCCCTGTGACCTTGAAAATAAGTCAAAGTCAATTACTTTATCAAACATGATACAGAACCAATATCAGTACCCTGGGCCTTTTGGTTATTGAGAAGAAGTCTTTTAAAGATTTTGACATATATGACACCTATGACCTTGAAGGTCAGTCAAGGTCAATGATATAAACAAATTTAGTAGCCTTTCCTCCCAGCTGCCTACAGGCCCAATTTCAGTACCCTGGGCCTTTTGGTTCTTGAGGTCATTTGAAGACTTGAACATATTTGACACCTGTGACCTTGAAAGTAGCAGCATCATACCAACACAATATCAGCATTCTGGATTACTGTGAAGTGGTTTTAAGATTTTCACATATTTGACCACTGTGACCTTGACATAAATCAAGGTCATTCATTGTCATAAACTTGGCAGCCCTTCATCGTGCTACAGGCTAAATATCAGCACCTTTCATCATGCTCTTGGCTCAGCACCCAGGGCCTTCTGGTTATTGAGAAAAAGTTATTTAAGCAGAAAGTTTACAAATGGTGCATGACGCACGACGACGGACAAAACACAATGGATACAGGTCATACTGATACTTCGGGTCAGATAACTTAAAAATGGAACTGCTTTAGGGTATCAATAATTCTTGGAAATTGTAATTAAAGTTGATTTAAATACAGGTGTAAAGCCTGTATCACAAAGAATGACTCAAAAAGTGTCTTCCTCATTAAAAGTGTTGGGTTTTTACAGCCAAATAAAAGCACTACAACATGTTACGTAAAATATGTAGAGGTTTCAAGAAAATGCGTTATCAAAACAAGCATGACATTAACTAGTTTTTCACAGAACCTGGAACCAACATGTGTCAAAAAACATTGACAGTTTGGTCATAATCTGTGTGCTAATAAGTTTATGCTCAATTAAACAGTTATAAAGCCTAGTGATTAAATTTCATAGCAATGGCACACCCATATATTATTATTGGAATGAACACTGTAATATAAGTATATATGTATAATTATGTGTTTTTGTAGACATCTATACTTTAATGATATGTGCATTTCAAATATCTAATAGCCTGTTCATCTGTAAACCTGTTACAAAAATACAAATATATACCGGTATGTCCTTAGGAATATCTGTGGTCACTAGTTATAAACGTAGAATACCTGAGGCTTTCCTCCAATTCTTCATTTCCAATGCATCAAATACTTGACGTACATATGGTATGATTCACTTACAATCAAAACAACTAAGGTTGACAAGCTGATTAATAAATACAACTTATTGTTATAAAGTTTTGATTTCTAGTTTGATGGCACTATTGTAAACAAGATGTAACAGTATCCATATGATGTAAATAGGCCCCATCCAACCTTAAGCCATTAAAACAATGAGACACTGCTCTTCTGGCTGAATTCCTGTAATTCTTCTTCTGTAATTATTTTTTAAAGTCATTAGCTAAATTGGAAGCTTAAAAATCTTCTGATTAAGAATTTACCTTGAAGGATGGTCCAGACTTGAATGAGCTGGTCTGTGAGGCAAGGCCTGGTCTGAGGAACTGGAGGAGACTACGGGCACCAACAAAGGGCTGTAAACAAAGGCAGATGTACAAAGTCTTATCAACTGATGTTAGAAAACGAAGCACTTGAGGCTAATAAAGGCTGCATACAAAGACAACCATAAACACTCCATTATGTAACAAAATACATAGCTGTACCTGAAAAATGCTTTGCACGTGCATCACCCTAATTAGATAATACACATTATAGATTTAAACTTACAACATATACATTGTTTCAGATATAGTTTTTCATGAAGATCTTCCTGTTAATAACCTTTAAATAATTTCTTAAATGTAAATATAACTAGAGTATTGAACAGTTGTCATATTATATTTATTTTCAGTTTCTAAAAGGCACACATACATGTTGGAAGTACTTATTTTTCCTGGTATTTTCAAAAGATCATTGTATTTTATTCTCATTCAAATTTTTTTTAAAAACATCCTTGGAAGTAATTGTCAGGATTAAATTTTATATTCAGAACATGGCTTGCAGATACATATGGAGATACAAGTTTTCATATCAATGTTTTGAAGGAAATTTTATTAGATGAGGTAGGACTATTTGATGTGATTTTAGTGACAGCTGCTAGTCTTGCTAGACCATTCAGCAGTCATATCTCCAGAGATGTGTCACATAATGCAGATCAGGATTGAAAATATACATCCTAAAGATCCATGGGAATAGCCAGAAGGATTTTTATGTTACATCAGTGTTATAACATCTCAAAAACGATCATAATTGTAACATACATATTTGAGTCCGACGATGTGTATAACTTGAGGGAGTCTCCTATATTTGTATATCTATTGGAGTCCATCAGAGTTTCCTGTTATATATATATTTACATTCTCTACTAATCAACCTTAAAGTGGCCATAGTATATAAATACAAAAATTCAATGTTCAAATTTTCTTAATAATAGCTTTTATCAAATTAATTCAATGTTAAATTTTTTTCATTCTTCACCTCCGAAATACATAGCCATCAAACTAAATAATATGACAGGTAAACTCAATACCTTATTCCTTTTTTATCAATTCAATTGGAGTTTTCTGTGACCCAAGTCTACAGTCTAAGTACAAGTTTCATGTGGAAAGTTTTCTCTGTAAATAAATTCTGTAAGTGCTATGTGCTTATTAGCAATGTACAATGTACAGCCAAGTTTTTGAGTTTCAATAAAAATTCATTTGATATTCGAGGTGTATAATGTGCAAATAAAATACTTCTAAATTTCCATATTTAAGAAGGCAATGAACTAGATTTTTACCTGTTCAAGTCAGTGTGCTTAGTTTACAGATCTCGGTCAATGATTACACCTGTCAGACGAGGTCATTGTCTCCACAATCCTGTTCTACATCAATCACACAAAATTTTATAAGAATATTCACATAAAAGAATATTCTTATAAAAGAATATACAGAACAATAAGGTCCATTGTGGACAACATTTCTTTTGTATTTTATTCATTGTGTTAATGTCTCTGGGACTATGAGGTCAATAAGTTTCAAATTCTTTGTTGTGTAGATGAAATCATTTCAGTAGTGCAGCGTGACCCTGCCAGGCCATCATGATCACAGCTCTGATCTACAATATAGTTTTACTGTAGACTGTATGCTAATTAATAGTAGCTTGCAGAAAATTAAAAGAAACTACCAGATTTAGGATCATACAAGTCAGTATTCTTGCATGTAATCAGATTTAATTTAAACATTTGTCATTATGACTAGTCACCATCTTCTATAGGTTTGATAAGATTTCAAGTTTCGATAAGTCCATAACACCATTTCCAAAATTCTGATTATTCCAGTCACAAATATTCTGAAAATTTTTGAGTATCCCATAGGAGAAGTCCGAGTCAAGAACTTAAATATTCAAGTCCGAAAAATATCTGGTCTTGCTCTCCTTGTTTTAATTCTTAGCAAAAGTACAATTTGTCTTTACTTGGCTATAACATATATGTACAGATGACTCCTTGTTTAGATTTGTCTTTTTGAAGCTATCAACCATCAACCATTGGAGCCAATAGGCAGTGGAAATAATATCACAGTTGTTACTGATCAACTGAATGTATTTTATATAAATAATCAGTGACAAAGACACTGTTCACATTCAGTTTCCATACAACGACTGTTCACACTCAGTTTCCATACAAAGTACTCAAAAGAGATCTTATTGAAAAGTATCACATTTCGGTTGATTAAATGTGCAGGTATATTTATAATGTAATGACGTCATCCATTAAAACTAGAAAAAAGAGAAAAATATTCGATGGAAGTATTCCAGATTATTTTAAGTGTAGTGCCAATTAAAGTGGACCAAAAAGAACAGAGGACTCAATACCAGTATACACGTCAAGCAGTCATACCTATGAGTTACAATTCGTTCTTGCCTTGATCATTCTCTGAGCAAGATTAAAATGCTGAAAAGAACAAAGGGGAAAGTTTTCGAAAAATGATCAGATCAAAATGCTGTTCACAAGAAAACATCTCATGTTGTGGGTTCACAGCCTTCCAAGTGTCAAAGAATTTGATTAAAAACTGATAGAAAAAATATCTGGACAAGATTAAAATGTTTGAAAAAAAAAACAAAGGGCAATAACTCTTTAAAAAATTTTAAAATCACAATGCCATATAATTAAGGAAAACACCATTTTATGTAATGGTTATAAAGCCCACCAAGTTCGAGAGAAATCGTTTTTTAAACTGAAGAAAGGGATCTTAAAATGCGAAAAAAAAAAAAAAAAAAAAAAGAAAAAGAAAAAAAAAGGAAATAGAAAAAGTTAAATTGACACTCAATAAAATTGTTTAATCAAACTTCTGTTACAGGAAACAGCATTTCATTTCATGGTAATTGATTAACAGCTGACCAAATTTCAAAGAAATTGGTTGAAAACTCAGAAAGGAGTTTTCTGGAAAAAGACTGACATCAAAAAAAAAACAAGCATTTGTTGGTAATACTAAGAACAGTTGGTAAACATGGCATTAACTTATTAATTTAATTCCATAAATCTAATGTAAATAACAAAAGTCTAAAGACTTCATTTTATTTAGATGACTGCTAGTTGAAAATTCTGATATGCAATGCAAAGAAAACTTAATCTAGGACAACCTTACAGCACTGGCCACACACATTCCTACAGTAAACCTTTTAATATATCTGCTATATCATCTATATATTCACCTTAACCTGACAATTTTGTCATTGTACCATTTAGTTTTGTAACAAAAGCAAGAGACAGCGGTGTCAGAATGGATTCTCAACAAGTACCTGTTCATCCTGTATCATTACTGTCACATGGTCATGCATGTCTATAAGTGAAATTATTTATGTAATATATGAAGTATAGACAGCAGGAAGAAAATAAACAGTGTTGTTTTGGGCCTATAGATCTAATGGGGAAAATACCATATACAACAGGTCATCCTGATAAACCTACAATTAATGAAAGAAATCAGACTCGGAGAGACATGCTAACATAAGAAATATATTTTTTCAAACGATTACATTCAGAAAAACAAGCCTTCATGTAAAGGAAATAAAGCAGGTTTCATATAGTTAAACATGCTTCAAAGAAATCCTGATAAGTTAAAAACATGAAATGATCTTTGCAAAAGATACGAAAACAAATGAAACAAAAAGCAAAAGAAAAGAAATAACTCGAAATTTTGTTTGATCAAATGATGACAGATGGACAATCAATGCATATACCATAAGCATGGCTCATATACTTAACACAACAAAATATAATGGAATTTCTAAATTATGAGAGATATAGAGTGGCACTGATATTTTTCCTAATTATAAAAAAATGACGTCTTATTTGATTTCTTTTAAATGCTGTTTTCAAATTGATTTTTCTTATTTATCTAATATGAAGAATGAAAATTTCATATTGTACTATGAAATAACATTGATAACTTTTAATTTAAATGAAGAGGTGGCCACAGAACAATATGGCGACATAAATCTCCAAACTTCATCTTACTGCTGTAGGGTTTTTATGATCAAGAAATATCTTTATTGTTGTTATCACGAAAAGGTATAATAATCTGGAAACAGCTGAGGTGAGACAGAAGAAAGTGTAAACAACTCAACCAGATGGCTTTCAAATAAAGAATTGTTATGTAAATATAACAGAAATCATGGTAAGGCAGTATATAAATGGAATACCTGAATCGTTTGAAATAAATTTAATAATAATTCTGGATACTGTACATGACAGTCTTATCGTTAAGGATCTCCTTAAGAACTGTATTGGAATTTCCTAAGTCTACTGTATTCTGAACGGTAACCGAAGGTCATGGTAAGGGCTTCGATTAGCAGCAGTGGAAAAAACTTCGATTCCTATCAAATTATTATAAACAACATTAAACTAGGCACTCCACTAATTTGGTCAAGTGATAATAGCTTAAATAGATGTGAGAACATCTAGCTAAAAGTCAAGTTTCAAAGTCAAATGGTAATTTATTCTCCGAAAATTACATGTGACAGAAGCTTTCATGCAGTGTACATTCCACGGAAAACATGTCACTACAATAAGAAAATCAGAAAGAAATTAATAGCAACATATAAATAAGTATCTAATAATAGAAATACACTGACATCCAATTACAGTTCCATTGACATTCAACCGAATCTTGTTTGTTTACAACCTACCTTGCGAATCCATATCGCCATGTTTTCGGTTCTAGGAGATGTTTGCTACGGTAGACAACTCTTTGTGTTTTATAGTGTATGCAAGTTCGTGGAATTTATATACCTACGTATTGCACAGAACATCACTCGGTATAATACTGTACACGTGACACATTTCCCAGTAGTCGATATCATTGTGTGCATAAAAAAACAAGACAAGATGTTTTGTTCAGATCTTCGCTAAGCTTCAATTATATATCATTACAAATTATGAAAATTATTATCAATTTACAAGTTCAAAAGTCATTTTGACCTTGTTTAGTGTAATCGACTTGGAATAATTTTAATTTGCATATATAACAGGATTTACGTCGACTGTTATGGTCTTTCAGCGTGCGAGAAAAGAAAGGAAAATGAACAGAGAGGAAACAGTAGGAAGGGATCGGGGAGAGGGGAAGGTAGAAGGGAGATGAGGTGGAAATCGAATCAAGTCGTTCCGGCCTCCGGTCCCAGACCAGGTCGTCCTTTGTCGTTCCGGCCCCAAGTCGATCCAACCCACAATATAGTGACGTGTACAGGGTTATATCCAAGATATGTGTAATTATATTATTTATATAATTTGTTTAAGCTTATTATTGTGTATTGAATAATTATTTATGAGATATGTTCTTAAATTACATTTTTGAAGACGACTCCTTGGTCTTATGAACCTAACTGATTTGTTAGACATGTAGCAGCGAGTGGACCGGTTGTAGACTGAGAGGAGGACGATCCTACACTTGTGGAGGGGTGATCGTTTCAGTAATTTAATTACATTGTTGGCGTAATTCGTGTTTTTCGAATGTCCTTGGTTTTAAAACACACCCTGTTTAGAAGTAAGGTCATAAGCCAAAAAAGCAAATATTATCAATACATAAACAGTTTGAAAAAATATGTTTCAAAATTCATTTTATTTAACTTTTTTTTTAAAACTAGAAATCTATATTCTCGACTATTACGCACGACTGACACGTGCACATTAACGAGTTGTCTATGTAGGACACTTAGCTTCAAACCTATGTTCTTTTTACACGACAAAGAACTTAATATATGATTGTATGTTGAATCTGGTTGAATGTAAGAATAGGATAAGAATGAGAGAAGGGGTGACTGCTCAGAGAGAAAACAGGAAAGAAAGTGTTGAGTGTACGACGAATAAGAGACGACCTTAAAAGAGGATTGACTCAATGGCTCCAAAGCAAGAAATGAAAATAATTAAAAACTTAAATATATATATATTTATCTCAGCTATAACATATTTATAATTGATAAGACGAGCTCGTAATTTGCTTCTTCTGTTAGCATTCTAACTCCTGAACGAAATACATCTTTTTCAGTAGTTTTAAAGTAGTAGATCCTTCCTTTGACACAACTCCACTGTTGACGGGGATCGTGTATGTTGTTCGTTGTGGTAGCCACCAGATACTCTAAGGATATTCAACCTCAAAACGGCACTGGCTTTTCACAGGACAACCTACCCAGCAAACACTTCAATGTGTCGCAAAACTTTAAATGCATGTGAACTGACATCTCTTTTCACCGCTTCAAAGCTAGACTCGCTAGTTAAAGGGAGACAACCGCTGCTAAATTGTGCCCACACAATATGTCAGTTTCCTCTCGATAAATAATACTTTACTTTCTTTCCCTTTCGCCATTCTCGACTGGCTGATGGAATGTTTTGATTATTGAAATTTTAACTACATATCAACATTAGATTTCCAAAAGACTCATTTTTAAAAAATCATAAATACGTCAAATATGCGAGGGTCCAAAGTCCCCTTTCCATATTTGAGCTATATAAAGCTTCATAAACACGAACTATGACAGCGGCTCGACAACCAGCACGTAGAATCTACCTACCTGTACAAAATATATCCTCTTGATTCTCAGAGCGTGTGTTTGACTGGTAAATCCCTCCAATCAGACAAAACTCAAAGAAATGAACTGTTCAGTTACTCGATAAACAACACCAAGGGCCGAGTCAACTGAGCCCTGATCAGGTCGATGACCTATAAAAATCCGAGCATGCGACGAGTGCATGCTTCTTCTTTGCTACTTTCATTTTCGTAGCCTTGACATTTCACAGTGTTCAGTGTTCAAAAACGGATCCTATTTCTTTTAATGAACATAAAACTTGTTTCAAAATTGTTTTCCTAAATCACACAACTATATACATCGCACCTGTACATTTTGTAAACAAGAAACTGTAGAGATATTTAGTTTGTAAGTCCCATTGTTTTACTCTTCACGTTCTAAATAAGCAATATAAGAACAAAGGATCTTCAACTTGTGCAGTAAGTCCCAAGAATATTGGATACAATTCTTCACTTTCAATGTACGTTTAATCATATGTAAGTCTGCATGTTTTTCTTATATTTTTTGGACGATGACAGTTTTTAATTTTGATTTACCTCCCCTTAGTTACTATTTTGCAATTTGTGTAGGCCACTGATATTTATTCAGTAATATTAGTCTCTCATTAAGAGAGCCCGCTGGTGTTAACAATGCTTTTGTTGCCTTTCAGCATCTAGTCTAAATCACACACAATATATAAATTAGAAGGTTAAAATTTGCGGTGTGCGGTATTCATTGATAATAATTACAGTTGGAAATATTTTTGATTAGTAAAGCATTCACCCTCACATATCAAATCTTCATTCGCGTTACAATTAGATTTGCTACCACAGTAACCTTAAATTTCCATTCTATTTTTCAGTTAACGTAAAGGATGAATATTCATCGGTATCTTCAGAGAAGTTTTTGTTAGAAGACAACTCACTAATTATCGCGAAACATTCAGTCGTGTATAGTCAATGTGCATTAAGTTAGTAGTAAACCGCTAAACTTGATAACTAGTGCACTTTGTGATGCACGTGCAGTTAACTAGGCTAAACATTGGAGTGCACTCTTTCAACTGTACACGAGGTTTTGTGTTAAACAAAGGTCTTATTTGAAAATGTAGGAGAAACTGTGTAAAATCCTAAGGAACGCATGTTCTTATTGTCACTTAAACATGGTTTATGGTATAATGTTTAACTTTTTATCACAGCGAAACACGTTTGCATGGGATATTGATTTGGGCTCCGTCCGGTCATGCATGTGTCCGTACGTCCGTCCGAGGGGCTTTTCTGGCCTAAAACCGTTCAACTCAACTTCACAAGATTTTCAGTTAGTGCACTAGTTGTGCCTTTTGCTATTGACGACATTTAATTTATCTTATTTTTTTCAGTTACCATAGAAACAAAGTAAAAAAAAAAACACTTAATAAGTGTTAACTTTTCTTACCGGTCTGCAACTTTGAAACCATTCTACTCAACTTTACTAAACTTTCTTCAACATGTATTAGGTAAGTGCCCTAGTTGTGCCTTTTGCTATTTTTAAAAATAATTGTTCTGTTACCATGGTAACATAAATTTTTAAAAATACCTACTAAATTAGTGTTAACGTTCCTTTTCGGGCTACAACTTCGAAACTATTTCGCTCAACTACAGAAAACTTTCTGTACATATTAGATTAGTGCACTAGTTGTATTTTGTTACCATGGAAACAGATAACCCTTATCACAAATTTCAGGTTTTCTGGACTTATGCTCTGAAACCGTTCAAGATAATTGCTCTAAATTTTGTACACTTATTAAGATAGTAGTATCTATTGCTTTGGGGAAGTACTCCATTTAAATACTTTTTCATGGAAACAGATAGGCCCATTCAAAAAGTTAGTTTTTTCATACCAGTTCTCTTAAACCGTTCATGGTAATTACCCGGAACTGAAAACTTTGTACAGACATGATAATTTTGGTTTGTGTATGGTGTGAAAAGGAGGTAACATTTTTTACATACGCTTAGTACCTGTACTACTTCTGTGTTAGGTAACACTTGTGCTGGTTTCCTATATCGGTAAGGTATATATTCTTTGAAAGTGAAATTTTGAGTGAGATTTTATTTACTGTGACATTTTATTTTTTTAATAGCTCACAACCTCTTTTTAAAGATTTTCTTATTGAGAAATATGTGGCTCCGAGTTGGAACATAATTTCGCCTTTTCCCTTGGTCTGATTTAGATTTTGTTGTGCAAGAATGATTGTTGGATGAGTTATAGTTATTTAGCATTGGGGAAACCTCAAACTTCCGATTTTGGTCATGGACTTAACTGATGATAAATATCCTCCTTTCAATGTCCAGTTAGACCGCTATTAGGAATAATAAGAATAATAAAAAAAAATTGCAGGGAAGTAAAATGAGCAAATCTTGAAAAAGTTGCTGAAGGTCAGTTATGACTAATCTGTTAAAGGTCAGATATGTTTATGATTATCATTTAATTACACGAGTCCCACGATTTGTATAATGATTATCAATTCAGACCACAAGTCACTACATACAATGTACTAGAATGACAAGTGTGTTTATTTACGAACAAAATAAATAACATAATATACAGATTCACACAGCTTCATATTATTTATAAAACAATTTCTGTTCAAGATTCTTAAAAAAGAACCATAAAAAATCCCCCAAAACAAAAAACAAACGTATAAATAACTTCAAAAGTGTATAATGTTACAAAATCATCGACAATCATTTAACATATCATTCAACAGAACTGGTGTATCAACATGTATTTAAATATGTATAATCTCTAATTTAGAATGTACATAACTCTCTACTTTAAGTATATTTTTGTATTATATTCTCTCACCATGTTACCAACAAATTGTCAATATTTGCGATATGACGGAGGTTGTAAAACTCTATTCCATATTTACATCAACACATTGGTCTACATTATTAAGCCTATAAACTGAAGGCACTTTAATGCTAATAGATACATCTCATTATTTCCATCAGTTACCACTCGGTCTATAAGGAACGGGCTTGTATATTTTTTTTCATTCAACACACTTGAAATGTTTAGTTATTCACCACTCCATCTATAAGGAGTGCGCTTGTAGTGACATTTTTCCCGCGTAAAAAACCTTTCGTTTTTTACGTTATTCACCACTCCACCTTATAAAGAGTGCGCTTGTAGTGACCTTTTTCCCGCGTAAAAAAACTTTCGTTTTTTACGTTATTCACCACTCCACCTTATAAAGAGTGCGCTTGTAGTGACCTTTTTCCCGCGTAAAAAACCTTTCGTTTTTTACGTTATTTACCACACTACTTATTAGTATAAAGGTTGTTTAAGCACAGGGAGGGAGCCTGTGGAGTCTTATTATCTTTTCCCCTTGTATTACTTCATTTACTTTACGTAGCATCAACGTTTGTTTTTACAATTACATCTATAAGTACATATAGGTGACTTGTCTTTTTGTCTTTTTCCTATTATACAACTTAACTTAGTTAATTTAGCACAACATTTTTACCACTCAACATATAAGGAGTAGACTTCTATAGCTTTTCTTCACCTGTCGCTCAGTTCCTTTTATTTGTGTGTTATTCGATCAATAAAACATCTGTGATATTGAAAACATAGGTTGTATTTATTGTGTGTCTAGACTAGGACCAAGAACGAACCTGTCACGTACCTAAATCACGAACGCCAAGAGAAAAGGTCAAAGGTCGTGATACCTTACAAAATATTACGTAAACTTTAAAAAGTTAAAGTACAGAAAGGTTAGAGTTCACCCTGCCACATATTGTTATCTTTTTCAACGGTAAAACCTCTCAGCTATCGTTATGTTTAGTATAACTCTGATAACCCCAATAACGTACGTGTTTCATGTAGTACTTATCATTGTTGTATGGAAACCTTTATCTCAAAACGTGCATAAATAAATACATATTTCCCATTACCTTATTTTTTTCCAAATATTTCTTTTTGGGGCTTATTCTCCTGAACATTTCGAGGACTATTTCTCTTAATTTTGTGGTAGACTAATTCTGTGGACTTTCTGGGTAGATTAATTCTGTGGACTTTCTGGGTAGACTAATTCTCTGGACTTTCTGGGTAGCCTAATTCTCTGGACATTCTGGGTAGACTCATTCTCTGGACTTTCTGGGTAGACTAATTCTCTGGACTTTCTAGGTAGACTAATTCTCTGGACTTTCTGGGTAGACTAATTCTCTGGACTTTCTAGGTAGACTAATTCTCTGGACTTTCTGGGTAGACTAATTCTCTGGACTTTCTAGGTAGACTAATTCTCTGGACTTTCTGGGTAGCCTAATTCTCTGGACTTTCTAGGTAGACTAATTCTCTGGACTTTCTGGGTAGCCTAATTCTCTGGACTTTCTGGGTAGCCTAATTCTCTGGACTTTCTGGGTAGACTAATTCTCTGGACTTTCTGGGTAGCCTAATTCTGTGGACTTTCTGGGTAGACTAATTCTCTGAACTTTCTAGGTAGACTAATTCTCTGGACTTTGTAGGTAGACTAATTCTCTGGACTTTCTGGGTAGACTAATTCTCTGGACTTTCTGGGTAGCCTAATTCTGTGGACTTTCTGGGTAGACTAATTCTCTGAACTTTCTAGGTAGACTAATTCTCTGGACTTTGCCTAATTCTCTAGGTAGACTAATTCTCTGGACTTTCTGGGTAGACTAATTCTCTGGACTTTCTTGCCTAATTCTGTGGTAGACTAATTCTCTGGACTTTCTGTAGGTAGACTAATTCTCTGGACTTTCTGGGTAGCCTAATTCTCTGGACTTTCTGGGTAGCCTAATTCTGTGGACTTTCTGGGTAATTCTCTGGACTTTGTAGGTAGACTAATTCTCTGGACTTTCTGGGTAGCCTAATTCTCTGGACTTTCTGGGTAGCCTAATTCTCTGGACTTTCTGGGTAGACTAATTCTCTGGACTTTGTAGGTAGACTAATTCTCTGGACTTTCTGGGTAGACTAATTCTCTGGACTTTGTAGGTAGACTAATTCTCTGGACTTTCTAGGTAGACTAATTCTCTGGACTTTGTAGGTAGACTAATTCTCTGGACTTTGTAGGTAGACTAATTCTCTGGACTTTCTGGGTAGACTAATTCTCTGGACTTTGTAGGTAGACTAATTCTCTGGACTTTGTAGGTAGACTAATTCTCTGGACTTTGTAGGTAGACTAATTCTCTGGACTTTCTGGGTAGACTAATTCTCTGGACTTTGTAGGTAGACTAATTCTCTGGACTTTGTAGGTAGACTAATTCTCTGGACTTTCTAGGTAGACTAATTCTCTGGACTTTCTGGGTAGACTAATTCTCTGGACTTTGTAGGTAGACTAATTCTCTGGACTTTCTAGGTAGACTAATTCTCTGGACTTTTCCAGAGTTTATTCTTCTTATAACTTTTTTTCGGTAAAATGTTTCTCTTTGAACTTTTGGGACTTATTCTCTGGACTTTCCGAAGCTTGTACTGTTTGAACTTTCAGGGAATGAACATTTTTGGGGGCCTTTTCTCTTAATTTTCCGGGGGCTTATTCCCTTAGAACCTGTCTGGTTCCCATTCTCTTCGAACTTTCCATTTGTTCACATTTTGCTTTCTATTGAATACTTTGTATTAGAACTGAAGTGTTCATTTAAATAATCTTTAGACCTTAAACAACGGTTGTTGAACCTCTCTCCCCCACCCCACCCCTACCCCCTCAACCCCTAAACCAAAGATTGTTTGCAGGCATATACGGCGTCGTTTAGATCCAGGAATACTTTATTGTCGGTAAACACGTCCGTAAGCAATGGTGTCCTTAGGCTTTGTAGCACACAACGCGAACACCGCGCTAAGACAACAGTGACGTTCGCTTTGCGGAATTCCTTGTCGATTTGAGCCAAGATCTTCATCCCATTCATGTCGATATAGCTGACGAGAGAACAATCTATCACCACATATTTAATTCCCTCCTGGTAACGTTTGCTGGGTTTTTCATTTACCCCAATGTCATTGTGTTCAGTTCCATTTTTGTCTTCCGTTGCATTTGACTTTATAAGTTCCCTTGGATCGCATACCTCTCTATATAACCTCTGCTTGAAGATTGTTGCCGTTGCGAAATAGATGGATGCTTCCATTCGGAATATACGTATGTTCGGTAGCTGATAGAGATGGTGGTGTTTTGAAGAGTCCAGATATATATCCTCGTCCTCGGGTGTTGAAAGTGTGTAGGCAGCTGACCGCTGACTCTGTACTATAACCGTTACCAGACCGAGTCCAACACCAGCATATAGGGCATATGGGATATCAATAAACACGCCACACAACCCTGTGCCCATCCATATAAGGAAATCATATCTATTCATTCTCCAGAAGTTGGGTAATTCCGTCACCTGCATCAGAAGATCTTTCACAGCAATGATGACCATAGATGACAGAACCGGAAGCGGAAGTGACTCGAACAGCTGCCCAACCACCATCAATACAAGAAGCATGACGATGGCTGAAAATAGACCGTTCAATGTTGTTTTTGCGCCCATCAAACTTAAAAGCATTGTTCGGGGAGGCGCGGTACAGGACGGGAAACAATGAAAAAACGCACTACCTAAATTGGAAACTCCATAAGCAACAAGTTCTTGGTTGTCATCGATTTGGTAGTCATGTTTTAGTTCGCAGGTTCGTGCCATTGCGATTGACAACACAAAAACTAAAATGGCGACTATTATAGCTGTTCCAATATAATCTGAAGTCAGAACTGGAACCCGGGGAGCCGGGATTCCACTGGGAATACTGCCAGCCACAGGTACTTGGAAGTTTTCTTTGAATTTTGCAAAATGCGATATGACTGTGGCAACAACAATGAGGATTAGGTCTATGGGCACGGGCATTAACATCTTATCTTTAAATCGTTTATTGATGCATTCCTTGACTAACAATAAAATCGTCACCGAGATAATTGTGATGATTAACGAAGCGACATTGATGTCTGGAATGGCTTTGAATATTTCGATATATGACAGAACGAGTTTCCCAGGACCAGTAAACAAAGGGATAGATATACCCAAGGCCTTGGGAACTTGGCTTGATGCAATGTGAAATGCACTAGCGCACACAAACGCGTGTATGAAGGATGATGACATGTACGAAGTGAGAAAGCCTAACCGTAATATACCCATGGCTAACAGTACGATCCCTACAATCAGTGATGCTCCAGAAGCTGTCATCACTTTGATATCCATTATGGCGTCGTCGTCAAGTCCCACCGTCGTTACCGTATCATTTTCTGTCCCGTTCCCAATAGTTACTGTCTGCTGCACAAGACCGCTGACTTGGTTTTGGGCCATTTCCGCTGTAAAAAGGGCGATGACAGCATTTGTACCAAACGATATGTGGTGAGATGTCCCAAATAACATATAGAATATGATGGGAAAGAAGGAAGTGTATAAACCAAAGGCCGGGGCAAGAGAGGCGAGGATCCCGAACGCAAGACCTTGTGGAAAATGTAGACACGCTGCGGTAATTCCACTTAGGACATCTCCGAGAATGTATTCCCGCAGTTTGTATGTCCGTATAACGTTAATAAATGGGATGTAGGCGAGGCATTTACGTAGACATGAAGAGCCAGAGCATTTAAATTTGCCTCGCAGTCGCTCCTTCAATGGCACAACAGCCTCCTCCTTGCCGTAAGTGTCCTTAATTTGTTTCTGGGTATGCAGAAAACGTGTAACATCTAATTTCTTCTCACAATTGACCAAGAGTATTTCTTCGTCTTCCATGGGTTTTACAGGTATGACTGACAACGGTGTAACTGTAAATAAAAGAAAATGTGACTACATGAATATCAAACAAATCTCTATGACAAATATGACGATAGATTTACTGAAATAAAGGCATTCATGGAATACAACTCAACACCTCAGACAATAGTAAAGGTAATAGTCTTGGTTTATTTTCGATTAGGCAATATTCTGAAATATACCAGTATTGCCTGGCCAGAATGTCAAATTTTACACCTGAGTGAGTTTCAGCTATAGTATGAAAATGACAGGTTGGAAATGATTTATAAAATAAAGATTTAAATTAATTTATGTGGGCAATTTATCATGACATATTTTACATGTTTGCGGTAGATACCACATACTACATATATTAAGAAACCTTCATCTTATGGGTGCAAATGTGTTTTCAATATGGAATGTATTAACACGTGTTTTAATCACTATGGTTTGAATAAGATTTTTTTCAGAAATCAAATAAAATCTATTCTGTTAATCATCATATTATTTACATAGCTTGTTTATAGAATTGTGAAATAGCATTAGATACTGTTTGCATTAATTGCTTTTAATGTTGTTTTTTTAATTTGATAGCATATTTGTGAAATAATGTTAAATGTGTAACTGTTTCCCTAATATACTAGTGCTGTTATAATATCAATCAAAACAGGGATGCGATGGAAGAGGATATCAAATCTTGATTGAGTGTTACACTTACTTATTGGCTTGGGTGGGATGGAATTACAACAGATATATCAAAGGAGTTAAAATAAAAATTTCATCATTCTCATTCCATGATAGCAAATGCACTAGATAATGTTAACTTCAAAGAAAATGGAAGAGGTGGTTACTGTCTCCTTCATGCAAGTTTTCAGGTTTTCAGACAGGGCCAGACGTAATGACAGAGTTTATTGGAGATGCGTACAAAGGCCGTGTCCTGCCACAACCATAACAATCAACAACATTCCTGTTAACTTTGGACATAATCACAAAAATCCCGGAGATTCTATCAAAATAGCAGCGGTTGTGTTTCTTTATGAAGTAAAGCAATGTTGCAGTGAAGAAGTTTGTGTTATTTCAGCTATCTTTGGCGAGACTCCGTGATAGAGACTTTGGTGAGATGATACCGAAAATTCTTACATTTTAGAGCTGTACAGCATCCCTCTACAGAGACCGTTCCAAGACCTTACCAAAACGTCCACTTACACAACAGGAAGTGGACTTAAAGTGTGCCTGGACGGAAACGCTAGCAGGAGAGAGATTTCTACTCTGTGATGATACCGATAACATGGACATAGACTCATCATTTTTGCTAGTGATGACATTTTGTGTGTACTGTGTGAATATTCTATTGTGTTTGGATATGGAACATTTTATTCTTGCCCAGGAGTATTCAGCCAGTTGTTTTCACTTCACGGATGTGTTGATTCGACCGTGTTCCCGTTGGTGTTTGCCATACTACCAAACAAGACTGAACAGTTATGTTGGAAACTGTTTCATACATTGACTGAAAAAGCGGTTTTTTCCACTACATGCAGTATATCTGGAGGAAAGCACAACAATGTGGGCTGGATGGACGCTATAGACAAGATGATGAACTAAAAACTCTAGTTAGACGTGCAGCTGTGCTACTTTTAGTGGCCCTTGATCAAATGGACGGTTTATGGTTTTCTGTCCGTGACAACAACGATTATATCAGCCCTAAAACTACACGGTTTAAGGACTATGATACAGAAATATGAGGAAGAGGCCCAGAACATAGCTTTGTGGAACAACTATGACCATGATGGCTCACAGACAGCAAATCATGTTGAGGGATGGCACAGCAATGTCAACAAACTCTGTCAGCATGTGCACCCGAACATCTTCGGGTCTGTTCAACTGCCACTAAAGAAGATTCAGGCTACTGATGAAGCCAAGACGATTCAACTTTCGACTGGAGGTAAATATAGACCAAAGAAGAGGAAATACCGCCACATAAACTCTCGCTTAAGTCATCTGAAGGACCGATACAGAAATAAACAAATTGTTGTGCTAGCTTATGCTGATACTGCATCTCATAGCTACATTTCACACCTAGTATCATTTGGCCAACCAAATACCTTACCAGCATACCTCAGAACTCACCGTCTTGGACTATGTAGATTTGGCTTCCATAGTTTATTACGTAACAGCTACCTATACATGATTGCAGGTAAAATATTGCACAGTATCACACTGGAGTCAAATTCTTATCTTAACATTTCAATCGGTGATATCACCGCCAATAAAATATAACCTACGGAACTGCGACTTAACTCCGACAGTGAGTTAGCATGTATGTTTGTTAGTGTTATCCTCGTCAATTTGTTGCAAGATCGACAGACACCTGAATAAATAACTCGTAGCATACAGATTCAAACACCACTGAAAGATAAGAACAGTCTCATACATAAAGAACAAGGTTATATTTCATATTAAATATGTTGGTTATAAATGAACTTTTCGATTTAAAGAACACAGAACATAACCATTTTACGAAGTGACAATACCAATTTTTTGTGTACTTTCGGCCCGAAGCGCATTCGGAGTTTTATTTTAAAAAACTAGTTGAAAATAATTACATGTTCACATATTATAGATGTCAATTTCAGGTTTTTATTGCCTCTAAGAAAAATTTGTATAATTGTTAAAAATTTTTGCAAATTGTTGAATGATGACGAGTCTATATTATAACGTTTCTTTTGGCCAATGATGATTTAACGAAGACGTCATAGATTTAATTAATCTAGGCATATAACGATCACTGGAGAGTCCATCACGCCGTGGAGTTTAATGCATTGTAAACCAATCTGCTATTCACATGAGAGTTTCTATTTCCCAATAAGACAGTTTAACTGTTTGATATATAAATGATATATGATGTTAATTCGTGTTTATGAAATATGATATGAATGTCGCTACAGTAATATGACACACATTAAGCATAGTACTTACATTATGTATTAATACAACCTCCATAAAGGACTTAACACGCCTTCTAAGTTACGTCCACTAATCTGATGTCTTATAAGCGCATGCGTCAGGTATGTAATGTAACGTAAAGAAAGGCAGGCATTGTGGAAAGAAAAGATTAATATTCCATTTCGACTAGCTCCTCATTAGTAAATATGATCTGTTTAATTCAAACTGGACAAGTAAATTCATTTTAAGGTGTGGCACCTATCCATCAAACAGTGGTGTCAGATACTGTGTATATATACTTAGTAATGTTGTTTCGTCTGTAGTGATTTATTGGTCTTAATCATGGTGGTTTAAGGATGAAGAAATAAAAAAATCTTATCGAAAAAAATAACGATGTATTATATAAGTAGAGGTGCGTATATTACAGATTGGTACTTAGTGTCCTGTTCCTAAAGAACACAGACTACAGATTGAACACAGACTACAGATTGGTACTTAGTGTCCTGTTCCTAAAGAATACAGACTACAGATTGGTACTTAGTGTCCTGTTCCTAAAGAACACAGATTACAGATTGGTACTTAGTGTCCTGTTCCTAAAGAACACAGATTACAGATTGGTACTTAGTGTCCTGTTCCTAAAGAATACAGACTACAGATTGGTACTTAGTGTCCTGTTCCTAAAGAATACAGACTACAGATTGGTACTTAGTGTCCTGTTCCTAAAGAACACAGACTACAGATTGGTACTTAGTGTCCTGTTCCTAAAGAACACAGATTACAGATTGGTATTTAGTGTCCTGTTCCTAAAGAACACAGACTACAGATTGGTACTTAGTGTCCTGTTCCTAAAGAACACAGACTACAGATTGGTACTTAGTGTCCTGTTCCTAAAGAACACAGATTACAGATTGGTACTTAGTGTCCTGTTCCTAAAGAACACAGACTACAGATTGGTACTTAGTGTCCTGTTCCTAAAGAACACAGACTACAGATTGGTACTTAGTGTCCTGTTCCTAAAGAACACAGACTACAGATTGGTACTTAGTGTCCTGTTCCTAAAGAACACAGACTACAGATTGGTACTTAGTGTCCTGTTCCTAAAGAACACAAAGAACACAGACTACAGATTGGTACTTAGTGTCCTGTTCCTAAAGAACACAGATTACAGATTGGTACTTAGTGTCCTGTTCCTAAAGAACACAGACTACAGATTGGTACTTAGTGTCCTGTTCCTAAAGAACACAGATTACAGATTGGTACTTAGTGTCCTGTTCCTAAAGAACACAGATTACAGATTGGTACTTAGTGTCCTGTTCCTAAAGAACAGATTACATACAGATTGGTACTTAGTGTCCTGTTCCTAAAGAACACAGATTACAGATTGGTACTTAGTGTCCTGTTCCTAAAGAACACAGATTACAGATTGGTACTTAGTGTCCTGTTCCTAAAGAACACAGATTACAGATTGGTACTTAGTGTCCTGTTCCTAAAGAACACAGACTACAGATTGGTACTTAGTGTCCTGTTCCAGACTACAGATTGGTACTTAGTGTCCTGTTCCTAAAGAACACAGATTACAGATTGGTACTTAGTGTCCTGTTCCTAAAGAACACAGATTACAGATTGGTACTTAGTGTCCTGTTCCTAAAGAACACAGACTACAGATTGGTACTTAGTGTCCTGTTCCTAAAGAACACAGACTACAGATTGGTACTTAGTGTCCTGTTCCTAAAGAACACAGATTACAGATTGGTACTTAGTGTCCTGTTCCTAAAGAACACAGATTACAGATTGGTACTTAGTGTCCTGTTCCTAAAGAACACAGACTACAGATTGGTACTTAGTGTCCTGTTCCTAAAGAACATAAACTACAGATTGGTTCTTAGTGTCCTGTTCCTAAAGAACACAGATTACAGATTGGTTCTTAGTGTCCTGTTCCTAAAGAACACAGATTACAGATTGGTACTTAGTGTCATGTTCCTAAAGAACATAAATTAGAGATTGGTACTTAGTGTCCTGTTCCTAAAGAACATGGATTACAAATTGGTACTTAGTGTCCTGTTCCCAAAGAACACAGACTACAGATTGGTACTTAGTGTCATGTTCCTAAAGAACACAGATTACAGATTGGTACTTAGTGTCCTGTTCTTAAATAACATGAATTACAAATTGGTACTTAGTGTCCTGTTCCTAAAGAACACAGATTACAGATTGGTTCTTAGTGTCCTGTTCCTAAAGAACACAGATTACAGATTGGTACATCGTGTCCTGTTCCTAAAGACCATAAATTACAAATTGGTACTTAGTGTCCTGTTCCTAAAGAACACAGATTACAGATTGGTACTTAGTGTCATGTTCCTAAAGAACACAGATTACAGATTTTTACTTAGTGTCCTTTTCCTAAAGAACACAGATTACAGATTGGTACTTAGTGTTCTATTCTTTAAAAACACTATGTATATATGTATTGCTAAGGAACAGTAATAAGAGAAAAACTGTGAAAATATTAAATGAAAACGAGTGGTTATCTAGAAGAACACTTCGAAACAACAGTTAGAAATCAGCTGGTTTAGACAGAATTTTGTAGTTGTGACATTTCAATTACTTTCTTAACCTCGATTGGGTCATGACATACAAAGAGGCATTGGATTGAATAAGCACTATGTGACACATAGACACGCAAAAACTATATCGATCCATGGAAAATCATTCAACCATCACGTGGCAAGATTTTTTTAAAGCGACGGTTCATGATAACATTACAATGTAAAACATCGTTGTTAAATGAACAGGCAATGCCATGACCAAATCACACAAACATAAACAGATGTTTTTCCTTACTAATCAGGTGCTCACAATTACTACAGGACTTACCTGCCATTGTTGTTTGATCGTTCTTAGACATACTACCAACCATTACTGTCCACCAATATCTTATTTATGTACTGGGAAGGTTAAAAACTGCCAGTTAATGTTTGTATAGTGGATAGTTCACCAGTACATGTGATATCTGTACACCATAGTCACGCTGTACTAATGACGGTGACCTGATACACGGTAGCAGTAGAAAATGCTGTTCCAGTAATTGACATCGATTTCGTTACGATAGTGATTTTCTAAAGACTTTGATGAAATTAAATGATACATGGTCATTCTGGGTCAGTTTACATTTTCTCAGTGTAGCATGATTAAATGGATAAAATAGCTCAACAAAAATATCAATCCTTTGGGTTAATAGTAGCAGCTTTTTCAATTACATGGCTTTGCGGTAGGAAACATTTGATTATCGGAAATGCAACGGATGATTTATGTAATTGTCGAAGCCGTACTTCTCTGTTGACAACTAAGTTGTC